AATTTTTTGGGTTTAAGAACAAGTTATTAACAAAACGACATTTACAGTTTGGCTTTATGAAAAGCTCTATATAGAAAAGACTTTTTTGTTTTAATACCCTGGACCGTCATAGCTGATACATTTGATTAGCTACACTCGGGCTTAAATCTTTGTATACTACTTTCAGTTACATTGGTTTATGTCTTTCTACAACTTTGCTTAAGCTAGCCAAAAGTCAAGCAATATCTAGCATTTGCCACTCACTTCCAAGCGATTTCGCGCGACTCGCTACACATACTAGTCAAGCAATGTCTCTCATACACTATTTCTTGTTTGTTACACCGACCAAAGTGATATTTACAGTTTAGTATCCAGGAGGGAACGCTAACCGTTTTATACTTGTAATGATGTGTGTAGAAGCATACGAAACGTCACGTTCTCAAATCAAGGTTCTTACAACATGCGTTTTTTTGTCATGTTTGTGACCGCAGTTTGATTGTTTGTTTGTTTGTTGTTTTTTTTTAACAAGAAAAATAAATTTCTCGTAAGTAATATACATCTTTAACCAGATCATGATGTTTTATCTTTCATAACTATCATCTCTATAAAAAGTGTTCCCTTGATGAGTGCTATAAATTTAGAACTTCTAAGCGCTATTCTTTTAGCGAAATGCAACGAACCACAAATTCAAAATCCTTCCCACGAAAATGGTCTATCGTCGGCATCGCCTCTCGACTCGATTTTCTCGCACGTGGAAGACCGACATTAACCTATGGAGGTGCTAGGGGGTAACGAGCAAGATTCCAGTGGTTTAAAGTCAGAAAAAGAATTTACAGCTACGTTCTTTACGTAGGGTTAATCTCTTTGATCTTTAATAAAACAGGCTTGTGTTTCTACAAAGTACTGTTGTATAATTACTTGCCCCACCCCTGGGCTGCTCTTTTCGAGGAAATGCCGCATAGTGGGAACCAACAACCTGCCAAATGCCCGTCAAACCCGGAGGTGAGCAGATGAGCGGGCTTGGAATTGACAGAGCCATCACGGACTGAATAAACTAAATTCCGTGCCTTTCGGAACATTCCCAGTAATGAAATGGTCTTCGACAGTTATAATTATAGAAGTGATACCTCTTAAAAAGCTCTAATTAAAGTGGGTTGTTGTTCTTCTTTCCTTTTCTCTACACATTGCTTATATAAAAGTGATTTTGTCTACCCCTGACAGTCATGGCTGACACGTTTGAGTAGCTACACCTAGTGTGACTTAAACCCCTGTATACTACTTTTAATCACATTGCTTAATGTCTCTCTACGACATTGCTGAGTTCACAAAAAAAAAAAAAAAGAAAAAAAAGCGATATCTGGCATTTACCACTCAATTTCAAGCAACGATTCGCTAATACTAGACATGCTATTCAAGCACTTTATCACTAACACTATTAACTGCTTGTTCATACGCCGACCAAAGTGGTATTTACAGTTTGGTATCCAGGAGGGATCTCGTTGTAAAGGTTGCTTTAATTCTTGTGTTGGTACCCACAGAAGATTTTTCCTGTCTGAGATTTCCTGTACGGCAGTATCGGATCATTTTGGTGAAGGCTACTTTCATTTTTACGTTCAGACCAATGTACAGCCACGGATTTATGGCGCTGTTAGCCTGACTGAGCCAGTAGCAGAAGTAAATGAGGGAAGGCGGCCATAATGCTCCCATTTTTAAGGAATTGTCCATCTGATACACATGCACGGGAAGCCAACAGACTGCAAACACCACCACAACAATGATGAGCATTCGGATGACTTTTTTCTTGGGGATTT